GGCCCGAAACATCAGCCTTCCTGCTCCTCTGATGCTGCTTGGCCTGCTGTGTTCATCCAGCTCTACACCTTGTTATCTTTAATTACATTGCCCAGAGGTGGATTTACAGGCACAGGATACTCGAATGTGCTGGTTCCTTTAACGTGATTGGATAACAGGCTGGCATTTGAGTGATGCATATAGGAAGAGTTCACATTACAGGTTCTACAACATAACTACAAGAATACGAACAATATTCCACAGCCAGTGTTGTTCCTGAAAATCTGTCTGGCTTGTGACAGTAAAGGAACATCATGGCTACTAGAAGAGCATACAATCTGGAAAACTGAATGCAGAATGAGTTCTTTATTTTCAGCAACAGGTAGAAAGAATATTAAACTTTTGGTCATTTAGTAAGGTTCTCTAGATATATTCTGAAATATGAGGAAATAAACAGAATGCATATGTCTGGACTAGTTTCAAAGGAACCAGTTTGCCTTCACAATCAATTCTGCCGTCCACTTTCACTGGCAAGTTTTGATTTAGTGCCTGGCTACCATTCATTATATTGTTAAGCATTTAATTCTGAGACATTGCATCTATTAAACGTTCTCCCTCTACAGTACTTAGTCAATGTTCTGATGGCAATAGCAGGGCGGAATCTGTGGTCGGCCTTGGTCAGCTGCAGTAACGCAGTTGGCCCGAGTCAGTACTCCTGGCAGGTCGACAGTGGTGTGATAGGCCCGATCTAGCCGCAGTGGTGGTGGCCCCACTGTGGGATTCCTGCAAATGGACTGCGATGCTGGTGGGCGCAGAGTCTGTTATGGAGACCCATTGCCCTTCTCTCCCACATCGCGCAGTGCACAAGAATAGAAGAACTCTGCTTTTAGTTATACTTTAGTTATATCTTAATATCTTCTGTAACTCAAAATGGCACCAGACTGTGATGACATATTACACTTTTCACTGTATATATTTGTTAAATACAAGTAACAATAAATCATTCAATTTTTGTAAAAGCCGATCTTAAGATTAATGATTTTACGTCCCTGAAACCATGCCCTATTTTGACTCACCTGGCTTTATGCAAAATAAATTCAGGTAAAATGTTTCTTCCACTTCAAACTCATTTTGTACTTGACCAATAAATTCAATTTTATTTGTTAAAATTTTGCATCAACTGAGATTAACAACGAGATTGTTACTGAATATTCAGGAGGTTGCTCATGGATTTAGCTCCTGCATTTCTTGTTTATAAAGAAACCTTTTATTGTGAAGAGGGAAAAGAAGAGGCCATTCTTCTCCAAGCATGTTCCACCATTCAATTAGATCACAGCTAATCCGCATCTTAACTTTATTTATGTACTTTTCTTTCATAACTCTCAAAACCCACATTACGACGATTAGTTGACCTGAGTTTTGCATTTCCAATTATCCCCAAGCTCAACAGTTTTATGGGAGACATTTTTCTATATTTCCATCTTTATACCCAGGAAATGCGTCTGGTTGAGATGGGAACTAGAGGTACTGCATTATATTGGGATACGAAAATATATTTCAGTGATAAATACGCAAACAGCAGTGAACTAAAAATTGTGCATTTGGGAATTCAGTATGATTTCCAGATCAATAGTTTGGGTTCTTGGCTAACAAAGCTGTTAAAAGTTATCCGGAGTATACAGCAAAGTAGAGCTGAGCTATAACTATTAATAAGAGCTTCGGACAACACACGCAAATCATACACTTGCAATTAAACAGTACTTTTTCTGATCATTGACTTCTCAAAGAATTTTATAGCCAATTATGTAGTTTGATGTATAGTTATACTGTTGGAATATAGAAAATGCAATTTGCACACAGCTAGCTCTAAAAGACAGCAATTTGACATTGATCAGGTAATGTGTTTTTCTGATTGAGAGATAAATATCGGTCAGAAGTAGGGGGAAACACCCCTCGTTTTTTTCAAAATAGTATCACATGATCTATTCATTCAAAAGCAAGATATTTTGTCACTGCATTGTGCTGATTTTTCTACTGTACTGCTGCATTTTTTATTCATACTTTTACTACACATACCATTCTAGAAACAGTCAGCAAATGCTGAATAAATAGAAACGTTGAATGTATTAACCATGTCAAAATGAATCAACTTCATCATAGTACATGAAGAAGACAAAACAGATACCATCAATTAACAGACAGTAAAGTGCATGATTAAAAACAAAATGATTTAATTTCTGGTATGAACAATGCTGTTTTCTTTAATAAGATCAGATTATGTACCAAGACAATGAAATGCATAAAAATGTTCAGACCTGTGCATTTTGTGTAAACCTCATTTTAACTCATTAGTATAAGAAAACCTGGTTCGTACCAAAGCAGATTAATGGAAAAAAAATTAACATCTTAAAATGGTTACTAACACTGACTTCAAAACCAATTCACCATATAGTTGCAGTACACTAGCTACCATACCTAAAAGTGATGTTTCTCTTTTAAGTCATTAATCTTCATATAGATTGGACAAATCAAATTGATAAATGTAGCAAAGGTAATCTGAAGGATGAATTCATAGACTGTAGTATGAATTCATAGACTGTAGTTAGGACAGTTTCTTAAAACCTACCAGGGTCTAGACTATTTTGGACCTGGCGGTGTGCAATGAGCCAGGAGTAATTAAAGATTTTGCAATAAAGGGAACGAAAAGGAAAGGAACTTAGTGAAATTACAATCTCAAGAGAAGTGGTGCAAATAACCTGACGGAGATGTGGACTGACATGTCTCCAGATGGACGTCATCCTAGGGCCTGAAAAAAAGTTCTTAAAGAGGAAGTGGATGCATTGATGTTAATTCTCCAAAATTCCCTACATTCAGGAAAGTTCCTAAAGACTGGGAAGTAGAAAATATAACCATCTATTCAAGGAGGGAGGTAGAAAATAGGAAACTATAGCCCAGTTAGCTTGTCATGGGGAAGGTGTTCGAACTGAATATTAAAGACATTATAGCTGCTTTACTTAGGAAAAAGTCAAGTTCATCCAGAAGAATCGTCAAGGGGAAATGATGTTTAAGCAATTTGTAGGAGTTTTTGAAGGAGTATCTTGCATTATAGATAAAAAGAGCCTGTAAACATACTATGCTTGGATTTTAAGGTGGCATTTAGAAAAGTGTCATATCAAAAGCAATTACAGAAAATAAGCGTTCATAGTGTAGGGGGTAACATATTAGCATGACCGGCAAAAAACAGTATGCATAAATTTGTCTAAATGCAGGATGTATTAAATGGAAATCCACAAGCATGTGTTGAATCTTTATACAATTTCCATTAATTACTTAGATGAGGGGACAAAAGGCATTGTAGCTATGTTTGGTAAGTTGGAGTTTAGAAGAGTGAGGCGTGACTTGATTAGAAAGTATAAGATCTTGAATAATCTTGACAAGGTCGATATAGAAAGAATGTTTCCTCCTGTTAGTTAGTCCAAACATCTGGGCCTTGTTTTAAAATTATGGGTCATCCTTTCAGGATAGGATAACAAGAACATTTTTCTCTGAGGATTATGTGACTTTGAAACTCCTTGCCACAGAATGCAGTCAAAGAGGGATCATTAAATATTTTAAGACAGAGATGGATCATTTTACTGATGATTGAGAGAAGACTCATGGGGCAGTAATTGGCCAGGTTGGATCTTCTGTACAGGACATACCAGGCAATTTTTCACATTGTCAGGTAGATGCCAATGTTGTAACTGTACTGGAACAGCTTGGCTAGGGAAGCGACAAGTTCTGGAGCACAGGTTTTCTGTAGAATTGCCGGAATATTGTCAGGGCCCATAGATTTTGCACTATCCAGTGCCTCTAACCATTCCTTGATATCACATGGAGTGAACTGAATTGGCTAAAGACTGGTATCTGTGTTGCTGGATCATCCGCTTCTGGCTCAAGATTGCTGTGAACACTCAGCTTTGTCTTAGGCTCACTCATCATTGAGAATGGGGATGTTGTGGAGCCGTCTCCTCCAGTGAGTTGGTTAATTGCCCACTACCATTCACAACTAGCTGTGGCAGGTAGGCAGAGCTTAGATCTGATCTGTTGACTGTAGGCTTACTTAGCCCTGTCTATCATTTGCTATTTATGCTGTTTGGCATGGAAGTAATCCTGTTTGGTGGCTTCTCCATGTTGACGCTTCATTTTTAGGTGTACCTGGTGCTGCTCCTGGCATGCCCTCCTGCACTCCCTATTGAACCAGATGTAGCATATTTGGACTTCCAAAAGGTAAGTTCCACATAAATATTTACCATACAACAGCTTAAAGCATTGGGGTGATATTTTACCAAGGCAAAAGAATTAACTAGGTAACAGGAAACAAAATCAAGGTAAATAAGTCATTTTCAGGTTGGCAAATCCCAACTTGTGGAGTGCAACTGGGATCAATGCTAGCAATGAAAGGGTTATTTTATGGAGAAAAAGTTAGGCTGATACACAATAGAGTTTAGCATAATATGAGGAATTTTAGTGAAACAGCAGGTTCTGAGGAGATTAGATGAGGGGGCAAATGCTGACAGGATGCCCCTCCTGGGAAAGTCTAGGACTATAGGACACGGTTTCAAAGTGGTGTACTGCTTCTATTTCTTGTGATCTTATGAGATGCAGATGAGCATTTTTGGGAAAGGAATAAAAATGCATTCCAGCATCATAGGATAGTCCATCACAGGAAATAAAAAATGTAGAAGAGAAAAAGTCAAATAGGCAAAGTAATAACCACGTTTATAAGTATATGCAGTCTTGCACAAAATTTTACACGAATTGTTTTTACCTTTCAACCCCATAATAATTTCCTAACAACATGCATTTTCATTTCACAGTGCCGGTAAAGAAGTGAATATTTAACTATTGTACAATGGGACTAATCTGGAGATAATGGTTTGACAAATAGGACATTTCTTGGGTATAGGTAAGGCCTCATAACAATCAGAACAGGAGCAGACATGTCCACACTCCAGGAACACAGAGGAACGTTCCCTGCTTAGACAGATGGCACATGCGTTTTGTGGGATTTGATCTTCTGTCAAGTCAAGCTCCTGCAAACGCCGCTTCTTCACTGCCAGCATTTCTCTCTGCAGTCTTGACTGTTCCTGTTCCCTTACGTAACGTTTATACTGTTGTCGTAATATGAAAAATAAAGTTATACAAGTTGTAATTCCAAACACCATCGTCAGGATTTTCCACAGCTTTGCCTTGGACTCCTGTTTTCGAAGAAGAGACTCAAAGTCTAGTCGACTTAAGTAGTACTGGAGTCCTTGCTTTGGAGGCTGTATCTTAATAATGTTACTGTCCAATACAAGTTCCCCAACTCCAGTTATGATGTCCTTATCTTGTAGCATTTCTTCAGTCTCTTTGACTCCCTTTGGTCGCTCACCACTGATGAAATGACCAATTATATCAGTAAATGTTTGTACTGCAGGGTGAAATTTCTCATACATCGTTTCTAGGTTCAGTTCAGAGGACTCCAAGGGTTTTATCACCCTGACGGAGATGCCAGGGCTACCATCGGTAGGCACAAGGTCAAAGGGTACAGTGTTGGTCCTTTGATGAATAATCTTTTCACAGTCATTCCTGTTGAAAGCAAAGTGAAATCTATGGGTCAGGGATGTCCAGCAACCTCTCACTTGTGTAGTATTACCATACAAGCTTAACTTTCATTTAGCAGACTCCCAAGTTTCAACTTCACCATCAAGTTCTTATCTCATGTTTCTCTATGATGTTTGAGACACAAATCAGGTTCTTCATTTATCCTGGGCACCTCAGATCAGCTTAATGATAAATAAAGTGATCAGAGTTTAAGTAGGCTCTCTTATAGCTCCCTAGAACAGCCTGATTAGTGACTGTAAGCTTGGGATGTAGGCATCTCTTGTTCTTTGTAGTATAGGGATCCTGAAATTTACAGGCTCATTTGCTGCAGTTTACTTTCCAAGGCAACAGTTCAAAATAAAAAGGGAGACACAGTCATTGTTGATGCATATACTTGCAAACAGAGTAATGAAGCTCATGGGGAAGCCAATATTGACCTTAAAGTAAAATTAATTTATTAGCACAAATTCCACCAAGCTGGCCGTAGATGTAGTCCCCTACCAAATGGAACCTTCCGGTGTCACATACAGGATTGGCACAACTTCAATCAGAAAACCAAAAACATGGGGGAGGTTGGCAGCCCTGTCTCCAAGCCTCACTCCAAGACGCCAGTAGCACCCCCATCTCCAACCAACCCCAGCCCGAATGGCCTACACTGCTTTTGGTCCCTCAAGAGGCTTGATTTACATGATTTACAACACTGCATAAAGCACTACACTTGTGCAAGGATACAGGTCTCTAGATTATCGTTTAACCACTGTGGCTACAGAACTCCGCAGCAGAAGACCAATTAATTAGATAGAAAGCAAAACACTGCAGGTGCTGGAAATTAGAAATAAAAACTGGAAATACTTTGCAGGGGAAACATCAGTAGAGTGAGAAAAACAATACAGGTTGCTGCCTCTTCTGTCTGACAATATCGATCCTCTTTGCATATTACAAACTTACCAGATGTGGGTAGTTCGATTCCATACCATTTTATGTTCCTGTAAAACAAGTCGTTGTATAACTCCTTTGCAACCATCCACAAACTGGCTATTCAGGGTTTCTTTGACAGGGTTAACGGCACCTGAAGCACAGAAACAGAGTCAATAAATATGCTTCTCAGCTATTTGCACAAATATTATGACCTGGTCTTTACAGAATAGGACAGGCTGCAAGTATTTTCCATTATTCCAGGAACTGCAATCTCTGGTGCCTGAACACAGTTAAATTGAAAAACTGAATCAGAGATAGTAGGAACTGCAGATGCTGGAGAATCCGAGACAACAAGGTG